GTTAGAGAATGACCATTTTCTTTGTCTTTTTAAAATAGTTCTGCTAGTAGTAGGGACTAATAGTTTTCAGATGGGCATCCTCTTAAAATGTCACTGCAGTTACTTCATCTGTTGTGTAGGAGATGTGCCAACAAAACCACTATCATGATAAAGGAAACTATCAGTGTTAAAACCTGGATATGACAATCCTGTCCTCTAGAGTTTTATTTCTGAGCATTATCAGACTTCAAACCTCAAACATTATCATAAAGACAGGTACCTGAGCAATGGTGGAACCTCAGTTGTTCCCATAAGATCCAGCCTGTGCTGGGTTCCCATGAGACCCATCCTTGCAGGTGACACTTGTGACTGCAGGGAGCAAGGCTGAAGTCAGTGTCCTTCCTGTGGTACAGGAATCTGTGCACACAGCCACCCGTGTAGGACCCTGGCAATACCTGTAAGCATCCATAACACCTAACAGAAAAGCACAAGGTCTGCATGTGCAGGACTGAGCGTATTATTTCATCGAGGGGGACAATAATGATTGTAAAATGAAGCAAGAGAAAGTATGAAGTACAGTTTTGGATCTTCTTTTCTCAGGAAATAAATATGTACCTTCTTCTTTTAACTGCAGTTATAACAAATATGTATGTTCATAACTTTCAGTAGTGATCAGTGATAAAACATACTGCTTCCATATATTTGAGACTATATTGTAATGTGCAGGTCACTTCTTATTATACACATGGGATACTATGGATATGCTTATTATGCATATTAAAACCTTGATGTTAGGAAATGGGGACAGTTTTCTTGGTGGTTGTGCTATAGGGAACCCCATTTAGAAAATTAACTCGAGTGAAGCAGAGGTGAAGTGGATACTGTACACATGACTATCTCAGCCGAAGTACTTGGCACGCTTGCATTTTTCAAAAGACAAAATCATGTTTGTCTTCCTTGAATGTGCACACATTCCTGGAGATGGGGGATGGTTTTCTTTCTTTCTTTTTCTTTTTCTTTTTCTTTTTCCTCTGGCCCCTAAGCACAGCTGAGTTTGGATAATTTGTCCACAGCAAATTAAGGATATGTTGCAGGGGAGGAAGGAACAGAGTTTGTATTTATTATTGTAAAAGCTCTTTTTTTCATGTTAATTCCTTTAAAAAATATAATGGTACGTAGGGGTTACATTACAGGCCTATTTCACCAACACAAAGTATCTGTACTGGAGTAGCACATGCAAATGAAGCCGAAACAGAGAATCATTGTTTAATAAAATTTGCTGCAGAAAAAGCAAACCTATCCATGTTTTAGTAAAGGAAACAAATGAAAAAATGCATTTTTGAGACTTTTCCTTATAGAGCACTGGGGGTTGAGGAAATGTCCTTATTTGACTTAATAATCTTATTTCTTCCCATTAACATTTTCAGCAAATTAACTATTTAACCATTAAACACCAACCCTACAAACATATAAGTGCACACCTAACTTTGCACACATGAGTTATCCCACTGAAATGTGAATACTGTCCTGAGCAAAATAGTTCAGGGTTCAAATTAGGAATAGCCAAACCCCTTAAAGCAGCACTTTCAAATACATTAGAATTAATTCAACCTTTTATTCTTCTGAGTCTGTAATTTAATTGATTCTTGGCTTAATTATATTAGAAACTTTTCATGCAACTTTTCATGCAAATGCTTCCTAAGTGTTGTTTATCTAGTGGTAATATTTTAAAAATAGGAATATGCATAATATTGTGCATCTTTTTGTTATTATTGCATTGTTATTTTTTATTTGCTTGTTCAAAGCTATTTACCATCTTTTACTGTGAATCATGTGACCATCAAGGTCTACCCTAGACATAGTGGTATTTAATGATTTATAACAAGAAAGTCACTCTTACCTACTTTAAAGTTACCCATTTTTAGAAAGACAGTATATACACACACACATACACACATATATACCGTGTTGTGTATTTATACACACACTTGCGCATATGAAAAATAAGTTTCTGGGAAATTTAGCGCAATCAGTTACACCAGCTGGTACCCAATTGCCAGATAGTATGGTACCTTTGTAGCATGTTTTGTCACAAATTTCTGAGTATGTACCAGGCCTCAGAAAAGCATGTGCATCTGAAGAATAAAAAATAGGCTTTGAAATGAGAAGTACTCAGTGAAGATGAATGGGCTGAGGTCACAACTCTACATGTTTTATTGTTTTAGTCCATCTGACTTGCAGAACAAACAAGGCAGCCAAGTGCTGATTTACAGGGAGAAGGTTATCTTCCTGACCAATAAAGACCAAATGTTTTGGTTTTGAGAAACAAAATCAGATTCTGTGGAACATAAAATCCTTGGAACCTGCTGCTGGTTTCCTGCCTTCAGAAATTTCTTTTTGCAGCTGGAAGAAGCTTAAAACAGTAAAACTGTGCAGTTTAGGAAGATTTTTACAGCAATGTCTTCCTAAAGCTAAGTAAGACAGAGTTGTAAAACATGCCACAGAGAAAATGAGTAATTTTAGTTGATGTGTTGTTTAATCTAACAGGTTTTCAAGCTAACTTAATTTAGACATTGTCATTCTCATGCACCAGTTTCTACTTGCAGGTTGGTTAAGGGTCAGCTACAGGTTGGAAACTGGGTCCAGCAAGTAACAACCAGGAGCCATTATGAAAACATGGCAAACTGGCAAATACAAATATGGTTTTCTGAACTCCACAATGTACAGAACTGCTCTGTTAGCCTTAGTTGTCTAGCAAATGGGTGTTTTCATGGAAATTTAACATTTAAGCTATCAGTAGCCAATATCTCACAAGGGAATTAAAAATTAAAAAAGGACACTAACAAATTTAATACTTAAAAGCTTTGGGGTAGATAGATCCACAAAGAGACTCTAGCTTTCAACAGTAGACATGACAGATTCTCAAAATCCCAGAAGCCTCCTAACCTGCCCAGGAGGAAAAAATTCTTTGGCACCCATATTTCTACTCATGATTGTTGACACAGCTGTAGTGCTCAGCTACCTCAGTGAAGCATGAAGACACAGATTTATCTTACATGGAAAATGCCTCAGTTTATCAAATATATTAATAATCATATCACCCCGCTGAATTCTACTCTGCCCAATTTGGAGAAAATAATTCTTCCTTATGTCGGTTGAGTGTTTTAGCCATTGGTCTACTGGATGTACTGGGATGGGATAGCCTTGTGTCTTGCACAGAAACAGTTCCATTTATATCCATAATTAAATACACACTGGAGCAGGGATTTGGACCTATCTGTGCCTCTTGCCTGTCAAATGTGCTGAACACTGCACTGCAGGATAAAATTCTCCTCATCTGTCTATGACCCAATTAATATTTAATTGTTTTATGCAAAATGAAACAGGAGAAGCAGGCTTTTCAGAACAGCATGGAGGTAGGGCTTCTCCTGAGAGAATGGGAACCTGGTTCATGTCTCTTATGCTCAGTCTGACAAAGTGTCCCACACCCAAAATCGATGTCCCTACTATTGAGCTGTTGGAGAACATCCCATGATTTCTCACAAAAGGGCTGAGCAGCTTTAGTTCCTACTTCAAAAAGAGAGTTCCCAGCTGAGAATTGCAGTCAGAGATACGTGCCTTTCCCTGCACAATTAACCTTGGCCGAGTCTTTATGAATCTAAGTCAGTAACTCAGTTGTGTACAACTGCACTTCATTGGATTACAGCCTTGTTTTATCTGCTTGCATTTCTGTAACTTTGTAAGTTTGTTGTGATTTAGATTGCTGTTTGGCGTGTGTTCAGTGCTGTATCTGAAAAACAAAACTTGCTCCAAGAAAGCTCAAGAGAACAAGAGATCATAGTTGAAAGTTTTTTTTGGAAAATGTGCTTGTTTTTCTGGATATGATGATCATTGTTCAGCTGCTAAGATGAGTTAAACTAAACAATTCTACATTATTTAACAGTTCTATTACAAGACTTATTGTATAACAAAGTTTTCCTTAAAATGGATGCCTCTCAATAAATAGAAAAATAAAGTAGAATTAATTTGTGCTCAGAAAACCAGCCCCAAAATCAGTGACCGCTTCTGTCTTATTTTGAGGGATTTAAGGTGAGTCAGTACTGTTGGTCACTTGACACATCACATATGAATGAGAAAAGTTGTCAATGTGTTCTTCCTCTCCCATATGTTTCTAGAAGGAACAACTCTTGATGCTGTGTGTTCTGAGTCATACCAGCAAATATTACTGGAAAGTTACAAAACTCTTTAAAAAAGCAAACTAAGTTTAGCTCAATTATTTATCAGCCCTTTCCCAGATAAATGTGTCATCAAAGACAATATTTGAAATTCATGTAGTATTTAATTAGACTGATTGTTCTTACAGCTGAAGATATTAACATTCATTAGTCTTACTTACTGGTCATTAGCACTGCCTTTATTATTAAGTAAAGAATAAATAGAAATTCTAATAAAAAATCATCAAGTCTTGTGGTTTCCAGTGTATTAGATCTGTTGTTTTAAGGCTGACAACACAAAAGTTTGTTATAAACATTTCAAAAATGCTTTAATAAATCCTTTATATTTTAACTGTTTTAAACTTATGCAGGCTAAGAGAGAGTCTCATACATCCAGCACAATAAAGCACTAATTGCATGGTTTTCACTAACACACTTAGTAACACACTCCAATGTGATTCTGCAGAATATTTAAAACTTCTTACATATAAAATGACATATACTTCTTACATATAAAATTAATCATAATTAATCTCTATTAAAGAAAAGACAAATTTCTGTATTATATTTTGACGCAAATAAGGAAAAAACCTAGGAAGACTAAGAAATCATGCAAAATTTAATAGGTTTAATTTTAATTGATAATTTTAATGGTACATACAATGTAACAAAATTAAAAGCCTGCTAGTGAGCATTGTTCCAAAAATGAACTTTACTCTCATTAATTTTTTTATATGATTTCAGTGGAAGCACATTTAAAGTGCAACTGTAAATATTTTTAAACTTTGCTCTTTTTTTTTTCCACAGGAGCCTCTGAATGTTATTGATCCCAGTTTGATGGATCTAAATGGTCCAAATGAAGATGCACTAGAATGGGATGAAACTGACATAAGTAATAAGCTGATCAGTATTCACGAAGACTTAACTGATCCTGACCAAGAAATCAAGAAGGATGATCTAAGCCAGAAACCTGATTCAGGAGAATGTGGTGATAATGATGTGAATGAAGATGAAAGTATCAGTGATCGTGGAAGTCCTCTTTATTGTCCCAGCATTACTTCCCCTCCAAATCCTCACATCTATCAGGTCTATAGTCTCCATAATATTGAATTATCAGAAAAAAAACACATGCCATTTTTGAAAAAAACATCCAAACTCTCCAGTGTAACACAATCTAACATTTTAAACAAAAGTCTTAGTAAAGACTCATCTTTTTCATCTACCAAATCCCTGCCGGACCTAATAGGTGGGACCACATTGGCAAAACCACATAACTATATGTATCAGAGTGGAAACATAAGCAGGCACTCTGAGAGTGAGAGTGGGATAGTGAGTGAATGTGATACAGAAACTACAAACAATTCAGAAATTTTTTTGCTAAATGATATTGAAAGCACTCAGAGTAATCCTGAAATTGGGCATGCAGAAACTCAAGTGGATGACATAGTCGATGTAATAAAACAAAAAATAAAGCAAGATGAAGAAGACCATGCTAGTCTCTCAGACGATTTTCAGTTGGCACCTTCCGCATGTTGTGGAAGTGAAAATGATGAGGATTTAGACAGCATTACCATGTGTAACCCTGTTTGTCTAGAAGAATTGCAAGGAAAACATGGCATGTTTACATTTTATGATTACTCATATCTTCAAGGCTCCAAATTCAAATTACCAGTGATAATGAAACAATCTCAAATTGAAAAAACACATACAGAGGACAGTTTATTTCATGGTTTTTGTTTTGATAAAATACCTGGTAAATCTGAACATAAGCCTGGAGAGTCACAACCAGATGGGTTTATTCATGACCATACTCTGGCAAGTGTCCCTGGAGAATCAGATCCCAACTCCTGTAAATCTGCAGAAACTGTAAGAAAATTAACTGTTACAGAGACTACAAGACAGGTTGCAACTTTATCTCGTAGTTCCTCATTAGAATCTCTGTCTGTGGTAGGTGATTTGTTCAGCTCAGGTATTTTTAAAAGTGGAGATGGTCTTCAGCGAAGCACTTCTTTGGAGAGCTGGCTGACTTCCTACAAAAGCAATGAAGATCTTTTTAGTCATCATGGCTCAGGAGACATAAGTGTAAGCAGTGATTCTGTTGGAGAGCTCAGCAAAAGGACATTAGATCTTTTGAATCGCTTAGAGAATATCCAAAGTCCTTTAGATCAAAAGATAAAGCGCAGCATCTCTGATATAACACTCCAAAGTAGCTCTCAAAAAATGTCTTTTACTGGACAGCTGTCTCTAGATATTGCATCCTCAATCAATGAAGACTCAGCAGCTTCTCTCACTGAACTCAGCAGCAGTGAGGATCTTTCTCTGTGCTCTGAGGACGTTGTAGTGCACAGAAATAAAATACCAAATTCAAATGCATCATTTAGAAAACATCTTAATAGATCTGTAGCTGATGAGAGCGATGTCAATGTCAGCATGATTGTTAATGTCTCCTGCACTTCTGCTTGTACTGATGATGAAGATGACAGTGATTTGCTTTCAAGTTCCACCCTTACCTTAACTGAGGAAGAGCTAGGTATCAAAGATGAAGATGATGACTCCAGTATAGCAACTGATGAGGATATTTATGAAGAATGCAATTTAATTTCAGGACTTGATTATATAAAAAATGAACTCCAAACTTGGATTAGACCAAAATTTTCTTTGACAAGGGAGAAGAGAAAAAGCAACCTCAGTGATGAAATTCAGCATAGTAAAGAAGTTAGTAATGAGACATCAAAAGCCACAGATACATTAAGCATTGAAACACTACTGAATGGTTCAGTACAGAAAATATCAGAAAATAATGGTAATAGTAAGAATGTACCACGTGATCATGAAAAAGGGACAAAGAGACACCTGGTGAAAGATATCTCTCAGGTTGTGAAGGATCAGCTTGTGGATGATATGGAGAATGGCAATGTTGAAAATACTCTTGGTAGTCAAAAGGAAGGTCTTGTTAAAACATCAGCAACTCCCAAAACTCATGCATCACTTGATGTCAGGGAAGTCGAAAATGAATGTTGTGTCTGTGAAGCATTTACAGACAGTTCAGATGACTCACATATGGATGGCAAGGAGACTGTTCTGTCATCAGATGGATCCAGAAACTCTCCAAAAGAATGTCAAAGTCATATTCAGCCTGATCATCACTCTGTTGCTTCCTCTCCTGCTAAAAAGCCTTGTCTTGAATCTTCCTCTGAAATGAATTGTGTAGAGATTCAAGATTCAGCTTTACAAACATCCTTACCTAATGCTCCACAACACAGAATGAGCATTCCTGAAAAATCTACTGATTGTTGTACATCCTTGGAACCCAATGAAGCAGAATGTCACTCCTCAGCCAATGGTCCTGATTCATGCTGTAACTGTGAATCTGCTGCTTGTGATAAAAGAAACATGGAAGATGGCTCAGTACACAATTTTGTGAGGGAGATAATAGACATGGCATCAACAGCTTTGAAAAGTAAATCACAACCTGAATGTGAGTCATCTGCTCCAGCTTCATTAGCACAGATCAAGGAAAAAGTGTTAGAACACTCTCACAGACCCATTCAGTTAAGAAAAGGGGACTTCTATTCTTATCTTTCACTTTCTTCTCATGATAGTGACTGTGGAGAGGTAATCAAATACATAGAGGAAAAGAGCAGCACTCCTGTGCCACTGGATTTCACAGATGAGAGAGAAAATATTGAATGCTTTTTTGAAGCCTGTCCCGAGGAAGAACGGGTTGAGCAGCAGCAGTCCATTTCTAATGGTAGTCCTGAAGCACGAGTTGAACAGCAGCAACCTATTTCTAACACTATTTCTGAAACATCTCCAGAGTCACTAGGTGAAATGACTCTAGAGTCTTTAGAAGAAGTTAAAACTTCATCTGAAGGTAGAGATTTATCTTTCTTCTGTGATGATGGCAATGATATAAACATCCCAAATCCTAACAAACAAAGTGCATCAAACAGTTTTAAAAATGCTGCTGATGATTTGCTAATTTCAGATGGGCAAACTGAAGGTTTGGAAAAGAATGTTCCAGAACTTAGCACTGAACAGAGTAGTACAGCAAAATCACCTGGAACTGAAGAGCCTAAAGGATGTGTTGCTGCCTCTGAAGAGGCTTCAGCTATAGAGTTTCAGTTAAAGCCTGGCCATTCACAGGAAAAGGATGTTTTGCATCAGAACAGTAAAACTCTTACTTGTGAAGAAAATCTCCTGAATCTTCATAAGGAAAGACATATAAATATGCACAGATAGAATGTAACCCTCTCCAGGCACATACATTATCCTAAAAACAGGTATGTACTCTATGAGTTGCACGGGTTGCACATTCTTTTTTTTTTTTTACATTTTTTGCCTTTTTTTTTCTTTTTCTTTTTTTTTAACATTTTTTGTACAATGAAAGGAGGTGAATCACCACCCAGGCCTATATAATTTGTTTTTATTACGCTATAATCCAAATTTTCATGACACTGGTCAACAAATGCAGTGAATACTAACTGCTTCTTGCCCTTTGGCTTTGCCCTGGCTAGAACTGTTCTCTACTGGGAAAAATCTGCTATCTTGCAGAATTTGGGAATTCTTCAAAAGTAGTATTTCTATATCAGCCTCCTCTTCCGTCCTCAACTGAGCTGTGGAACTAGAAACCAGGTCTACTCATTGATCCCCTTCTCCACAGTCAGCTGGCCTTATGAGGTGTTCAAAAGGACTTGAAGGTGAACTTCTGCTTTTACAAGAATTTTGGGTGACTAGTGAGTTGGAGTTCTACAATATTTCCAGACAAGCCATGAAGAAAGGCTAAGTGGACTGGAGAATAAGTATAGAGATAATAAGTCATCTCTTGACATCAGTTTACCATGTTTTAAGTTCAGTAAGCCATTGTTAAGAACACAATTATTACAACACAGTGTTAGGCCAAAAGTTGAGGTTACCAAAATAAGAAATCTTTGCAACATCACTAAAGAGTATAACGTGAGGTTAATGTAGAATAAAGACCTGAATACCAAAGCAGATGGAAACTGATAGCCAAACAGCAGTACTGGAAGCTTCGGTTCTATTTTGTGGCAAGCATTTTGAAACATAAGATGGTGGAACCTAAGATGAAAATGTGGCTCTGATCTCTTCCAAAGTTTTAAAGAGGTTCAGATCTGGAGTTTCTGACCTCACATAAATGTCTAACAATAACAGCACATTTAAGAACAGAAGAAGATCTACAAAGCAACTTCTGTATCAGATCCTAGTAGGTAGCACTGCTGCTTTGAGTCTTGCTAGTTGTTTGGCGACCCAAAAGCCAGCATAGCTGCATGAGAATGCCATTGATCTTTGGAAACGCTCCTCCAGTAGATCAGAGCCAGCTTGGAAAGTCCAAATGCCACTCCAATTTTAAATGCCACTGCTTGCAAGAAGCTGTAGCAAGGGAATTTCCAATCAAACACAATGCTAAGCATGGGACCAGGTTTCCCCAGGAAGTTCTGGAATCTCCATCGTTGGAGACATTCAAAATTCAAGTGGACGTGGCCCTGAATATTCTGATCTACCTTTGAAAATAGCCTTCCTTTGAACAGGAGTTTGGACCAGATGATGTTCAAGTTTCCTTCCAAGCTAAGTTATTCTATGATTCTGTGATGTTGCTAGGAGAAAAGGCTGTTACTCATCACTGCCCATGAAAACCACTAGTACTCTCCTACTGCAAATTAGGTAGTTATAGCAAAGGATCTAGGCCTGTTCATACAAAATAGATTGCTTTACTGCTATTAGAGATCTAACTTCTACATTTCATGGTTTCGCTATATTATATTACTGTGCTTTGGGCTTTTCTTTTGCACATGTTGACAGTTTACCTAGCATTCACACATTCACATGTGAATAAGTATTTCTAGCAAAGTCTTTAGGTTATGACAGCAACAGTCTACAGCTTGCCACTGTCTCTTTCGACACATATCTATTTGACTAATGCATTATCTTAGAACCATCATAGCAAAGAGGATATTTCTTGAATGGCTTTGAAATGGGCTACCATGACCTGTTGATTGCCAGTTTGGTTAATACTTGGGCACATCCAAACAACTGGACAAGCAATGGAAATCAACTGGGAATTACAAAAAAAAAAAAAAAAAAAAGAGATTATACTGTATATTCTAGAATTGCATTTAAGGGATTATGTGCATACGGAAGCCTCTATTTGTAAATTTGAGATGATGACAAAAGTCTGAGGTTGATAAGTGATAATTATGTAAACATAAGCCTTTCCCTAAATTTCTGTTTTATTAGTTTTCTTAATTTTTTTTCACTCATTTTTATAACATTAATTTGAGGAAGAATCCTTACTATTGTGAGTGCAATTTTATTCTTGTTCTTACTCTTTCACTGATGAAGATAATAACATGTCTTTTCAGTTCATTAGTACTTTTCATCTGAGGATCTCAAAATACTGTATAAACTTTCCCTCACTCTTCAGAACTTCATAGTTACTTACAGGGTAGCCAGCTGTGGTTTTCATAAGACTGGGATATGACAATATATAGTTAAAAAGATGTAAGGACTAAGATTGGACATAGAGGATGGAGACATTAATAAATTCCCCGCAATGCAATAAAATGTAATGCAGAGTCTGTATGCAACAACTTGGTAGAGTTGTCTTCTAGCCTTAATTTTTGCCCAGGGGTTGACAAATATTTTTAAGGTAACAAAGCCCCTCACACTACATCCCACTTTTTACATTTAGGAAGATATAGTGGTTCTTAACTGATATGTACAGGATTGCTTCCATGGAAATTATGTATTGTATTATTCCCAGTATTAAAGCCCTAGGATGCATACAGTTTATCTCTGGCACATCAAAAAATGAAAATATGAGCTGCTAGGTTTGGTTTCACTAAAGTCTGAGCTCCCTTCCCCCATTCACAAGCTTGGTGCTTTAACTTCATCTCTCATGCTATGGGGAATGAATTACAGAAGCAATCTATCCTAATTTGTTAACTTATTCAAATAACAGTTATTATACTTAACTATGCTAAAGATTATCTTTTTGGTGGCAGATTGTTTATTTTTTGATGAGGCTAATTACTGATTTTCCAAAGGTAATTTACATTTATTACTAATACATCTTTTAAAATGTGACAGATAAATGTTGTTCCCATAAGTGTATTATGAAAAAAGTTACTATTTAAAAACACATTATTTAATTTGAAAGATAAATGGCAAACACCATTATTTTTCCTGTAGCACCTGTGCTGCAAGCTCATTTAAATGTGTAATTCCATGTGTAGCTGTAATACTTAGAGAAAAACAATCTATAGTATATGTGTACCTTAAAAGCATACTGAGAATTCAAGGCTAAAAAGGGCATAGTTTCAAATGGAGTTGGATTTTGTACTGTTACAGTATTTATCTTGGCTGTACAGGAGAATAAAAGTAATGGTGACGAAAATATTTTTGCCAATTGTTGCAATCCTGTTATTTATCAGTGTTCTGAAAAAAAAAATTACAGGAAAATAATAACAATTCTCAAGCAAGCTTAAAAATATCTCTGTCAGCACTGACTACTCTTTCATATGAGCCAACATGGAGTTCTTCAACAGAGGTGCTTATAAAGCTATGCTGGTTTTAAATTTGTTTAAATTTGTAATTTAAACTTAAATTTTAATTTAGGGGAAAAAATATTTTGGTTGGACTTAAGGAAACTAAATTGGCTTTATCTGGCAGTGCTGCAATGTTTGCCAGAATATCCTGCCACTTACTATAGCCAGGAGAAACCCAGGGCTGGTACTCAGAAGGCCTGACTGTTTTTTCCTGTTCAGCATTAAATTTTTTTTGTATGACTTATTCCTTCCTTGCCTCAGTTTCTTTAGCAACAAAATAATGAGAATAATGATCAATGGGACCTGTGAAGCATGATTTATTCACTGAAAAGTGTTTCAAGATCCACAGATACAAGATGATACATAATGCAAAGGACTGTTAGTTAATTATTCATTACAGGAGAAAAATAATATACCGGTTTACACAGTAGTTAATTTGTGATAATTCACTTTTAGAGACTGGAACTATAAGAATACTGTTTGCTTACTGTTTTTTTTTCCTAGAGATGTTTATAGGGAGGTAGATACTATAATGTTTCTTTATAGAGTTTGAAGCAATCTGACTTTTTAGCTCGATACAGTAGCCGACTTGAAAAAAAATAAATAGAATAAACAGATAATCTTGTATGGTCTGTGAATTACATAATTTTTGAAAAAATTGACATAATCCATCAGTGAGACTTTTCTTACTATAGATATGTGAAACTCGTGCCAGAGTTGTAGGAAACTTCATACAATCTTCCCCTTTATTCAGATCCTTAATTTCTAAACAAACTGTTGAGCTTTTCACTATTTTCATGTAAGTATATTTCTTCTATAAATAGTGAGGGGGTCAGTTACAGCCAATAAGATCAAAAGAGAAGGTAACTGGATAGATCCAGATATTCCTGCTTAACTTGGAAGGCACATAATGCATGTCTGGAGTGCCTCTTAGGAAATGCCTATGAGATGTACTTTACACTAATCTTTGAGCTGTATTCTGACAGTTATTTCTTCATAATCCTCATCATAAGCCCCTGTTCGTTGATGAATAGTTTAACCCTAAACTCTGGGCTGGATAATTCTATAGTATGAAAATTTAACTCATTGCTGGTACTAGAAGTGTCTAAATAGCTATTTTAAATTTTAAAACGCAGTGTGATGACACTGACAGTTCTATTTATGCAACACTTCTGTGACAATCCTTTCCTCCTCTCCATTTAAATCTCATTCCATATGTTTATCTAAATATTAAAATAAGTGATGGGTAGATCTTTTTGTTGCTTGGCTTTTGAAAATTCCTGTGTTTTCATTGATCGGTGCACTTTCAAGTGTGCTGAAGGTAAGTTTGCAGGTAAGGATGAGGACAGGATCCAGGGAAAAGGTCAGATTTGATGAATTCCCTTGTTTCTTTAGAAGCAAAGTCTTTACAAAAATCAATGAGTTTTCTACATCAATACAATTTTTTACACTAACTTGTACCTCAGACTGTTAAAAGTCACTGTTTGCCTACTGTAAGCTTCTGCATTAAAGGTTGTGGCATGTGACCATTTAATGACGATCTATGGTTGTTCTGGAAGAGCTATGTTTTGCAAATAAAACTTCATTTTCTGTAACCTACTATTACTTTTTTGTTTCCTTTTAGAAACTTGGCTGCAATTCAGGTGCAGGTTCATCCTGTAAACCCTGGGATGACCTCCAATTCCATTGTATCACTGCCTCTCATTACACTGACTCCCAAGATAAATTTTCTTTCCAAATGCGATTTGTCCATGTTGGCTTTGTGATCAGGCTGCATATGCTAGTCCTATTTCAGTGATCATTTTGTACTGTAGCAAGGCCATTTGCTTTCATATGGATTCCTCTCCCAAGCTACCTCTAACGATCTCCCCTTCCTAAATTGGATGTTCCTGTACTACTTATTGCTGGTTCTGTTCTGTAAAGTTTTGAAGTTCCACAGAATTCATGATCAGTCTGGTTCATCTTTTCAGAACTGTACCTGTCAGTGCTCTTCTATTTTATGTATCAAATTTAATATTTATGTGTATAATGCATAAGTTTATTGAAACTATTTTACTTTTAAAGTGACAATTTTGTTGGATTGCAGCAAAAAGAAAACATTAGCCCTCCTGATTCAATACATCTAAAAATTAAGCAATTACAATAAATGGCATTTTATTTATTTAATTTTGAAATTTAATCTATGCAACACTTCAAGAAACAACTACATGGTGTTGTATATTAGGAACTGTTGACATTCTACTGAATTAAGTACAACATTTTGGGTTTTTATGCTTCTTGAGGTGGTAATGAGAAAAAAAGTTTTTAAAAAATGTGTGCCTTGCTGTATTTCTTATACCATTTATTAAAAAGCTGCTTTCACAGTAAAATTATGTTGGTTTGAAAGGAGGAAATAGCAAGGTTAAGATGTGTGAATAATTTCTGTATATATGTATAACCAAATGCAAACATTGATGTATAATGACAGTATAAAATGCTTTCATGTTTGTGATGTCCAGTGATGTGGAAAATATAAGCCTTAAAACCATTAGATTGCATGGTAATTAGAATTGGCATAATAAACATAGTTTATTGGGGAAAAAAAGCAGAACTGGTGATCTGTTTTACCTGCGTTCCACGAACAGAGTGATTTATCAAAATACAGAAGAATATGGTTTTGTTTGCAAATATTCCCTAGAGATTTGCGATTCCATAGCTGGGTGAGATTTGTATTACCTGGCTCAGAGGTAGAGAACCTATTCATTAAAGATTCTCCAGGTCTTTTGGGACAAACAAGGAGACACAAATATTTAGTAGTTTAAACTAGTACACTCTCAACTGCAGTGGTGGCAATGGTCAGGCACACTTTTATAGCAGATCTTTTCTTTGTTTATCAGTAACAGTTTGTTGTCTGGTTCTTAAAATTTTATTCACTTGCACATTTATACTGAATAAGCTTTTTATATATATATTTATATAGACACTTTTACAGTTGGCTGTTTTAATTATTTGGACTGTACATTTTAAATGTTTTTATCTTGTGCTAAAACTATATTGGGTGGCCAAAATAAACCAGAGAGCTTTATAACCTACCTCTGCAAACATAGCATTCAGCTCCTAAAAACACTATTGGGGAGGGATGTCAGAAAAGTTAAAAGGCAAGGAATGCTCTCCTATACTACCTTTACTCATTGTTTTTCAGAGTATATAAATGTTTTTACAAAAAGCTTCAACATTCTCCTTGCTTTAGAAGATGTGCATCAGTTTGAGAAGCTTAGCTAGTAGCTCAGAGGAACTGTACTGACCAGCTGATACATTCATACAACAAGGAAGGAACAAGTATTTAAAAAAACCTCATGTTTTCTGAACTATTAACAGCTTGCTGTTACTGCAAGAGGCAAATTATTTATCTCTCAATTTAATATTTCCACTCCTAGCCTTGGGTAGGCTATGATGTAGGTAGACCAGCAGAAACAACTCCTAGCTTAAAGAAACATGTCAATAAGAATTATTATGAGAGCCTTTTGAAGCCGTAAAGTTTTCTGCTCTCACGTATCTTCTATTATGTAGAAATCTAATAGGTTAACCTATAATTACCAAAAATGTATAATTATATAACTTAAGGTCACTTTAATATATCCTTTTTTTTAAAATATATAAAGCAATTTGGAATATAACTCCTAATTTTAGTAAAATATTTACAGTGATAGTTATGTTCATTTATAAGTTATTTCAAACCTGATTATAAAAATGGTTTTGACATGGGAGTTGATTTTGGAATAATTCTTTCTTTCTCCCTAGCATTTTCTGGTTTGTGTTGTATTTTTTTAAACTTACTTTGACTATAGCCATACCTTACACTATGATGAAAGGAAAACTAATCAGTTAGGGGCTTTTCAGATCTGTCACCTCACCCAACAGACTGTGGAGAACTCCATCAATTTCTTATACCATTCTATTGGGCCATTTGCCACAAATTTGCTTTTTTCCTGGGGGAAAATAGTAGTAATTGTCAAATCAATAAACCACATATTCATCATACAATATCTGGAATATTATACGGTCACAACTCAAATTTCTGTGGTTCCTTTCTGAGAGATGCTGAACATTTTAATTTAACTAGTATTCACAGATCTATTTGATTTCGTTTCATGAGATAAAGTCATCATGACTGTGATGCAAGATCCATCATTATCAACTATTCCTTTTTTGGCTTGGTTAGAAGCTTTATCCTTTTTTTTATTTTTCTTGTTAGAATATATTGGACTTAGTTGTCAATAAAAAATTATTTTTAAAGGAAAAGAATTCTCTGATACATAATCTACAAGATTTGTTCATGTCTTAGTGTAAGTCGTATGCATATGGCTAAATTGTGCCTAGAACTTGCAAGAAGTTCTAGTGCTAACTCCCTGAAGAAAAATATTGGTATAGTGTAAAATTAATGTTGATGTACTAATATTACCTCTAAGATCAGCCTATACATAAACTCCTGTATACATCCTGTTCCCTGCTGGTGAAATTCTCTTGTGGTGTAGAAGCATGATGTAAGCTTTCTGCAGAATTTATCCCCATCTAAAGTTCCATAGGCTGCTTTTTATTCCACGTACTTCCTGGCTCATGCTTGAACAACATCTGCTGTGTGTGAGGAGGCCATTTGACAGCAATGGCCATGACACGTGAATCTCCCTTTCCTGCCTGCTTCACATTCCTTCCATGGAGACCCAGAGCTCTCCATCTCTAAGCAAAGGGAATGCACACTAACACTGGTGGTAAACCACGTCTGCAGCTAGGAGTTAAAAAGTGTTTTGTAATCACAGTAGTTTTATATATGGATAGCCTTGTAAACCATGTCCCCAGTTTTTCTCACTTAATGGTTTGCCTTTTTCCCAAGATGAGCCAAAGAGTTTTTACAGAACCTTGTCTCTGCACTGTTGTTACAGTAAGAGACATTTCGGTGGCATTTCTACATCCTTATGGTTTTTTTATGTTGTTCATTGTACACGTGTACACATAAGCATACAAACACATGCAAAGATACTGAAACTGTTTCTGTTTGTTTCACAATAAACTCAAATAAAGAGTCAGTTAGATGGTGTCTCAACCTTTCTCTTTGGTGACAAGATCCAGAGATGACATAGCCTCCCACATCACATATTTTAGAATTTTATTCCAATTCCCCTATGTTGAGCAAAACAACATATTTTGACTAAAATGTATCTGATAAAAGGGCTGGGTTTTGTATACTTTTTTTGGCTTGAAGACGTCAGGAACAACATTTTAAAGGTTCCTGTCCTGCAGTGCACAGAAAAGGGGTTATTACTGTTTAGGCCAGACTGTACTCATACTTGCCTCAAGAGGATTAACGGGGATGTCAAGTTCTTAGCCAAGTCAATCTCCTTCACTGACAAGATTCTACAAAATTATTCCTAATAATAGCATCACTTTGAGAGGGATTTTGGCCAACAAATGACATCTGATCTATTGCCTTCAGTGTTGTGCTTCTAATTTTTCAGACTCACCCTGTTTTTTATACCTTTTCGCATGAGGTGCTTACATTTTTAATGTGACTACTATTTGCTTAGTAAATGCATGCTCATCCCTGATTTTAGAAATGTTTTTAAGGACTAGACCATAAATGAACTTAAGTCTGTGCACTGGATGAATTCTAAGTGCTTCAGTGCTTTTAAAATGGAATTTCCTATGCAATAGCAAGTAGTATTACTTTATTTCTGGGAGAAATAAGCTAAGTTAAAAGTGAAGTTAGAATTGTTTAAGTCAGTAACTTTAGTGTAACAAATACTACTGGGATATTGTAGTTATTGTCAAACATTAAAAATACAGCAAGTACAGAATTTCATCATACTTAAAATGAAATTATATGGTATGGAAAAGAACAGTTAGGCATGTAAATGTATTTACTTCTGCCTTACATTGAGCTCTGTCTCTGACATTCTGGGGTTGCAAATGGAAGTGAAAATAATTTTTAAAAACACGTGCAATCTTTTAAAGATTTTCCTCTTTCTTGTAATTACTGTGAGGATGTTTTAAATGCAGCAAAGATCCAGCTGTATAATTTTCCAAAGAAACTTTATGAGAGTAACAGGGAAAGGGAAACATATTTGACAAGATTTCAAGAAACAGTGGAAAACCACAAACGATTCTCGATGCACTTCATTTACAGAATCTGAAAAAAAAAAAACAGACTCTGGAAGAACTGATACTGAGCATCAACCATCTGCCCCAAAGCTATCCCTTTTTTTCAGGGGGAGATAAATGCTGCAAGAAATAGTGTGCCCTCAGATGAGGTGGTGTGGCAATTTCTCATACAGTCTACTGTGTATATATAGCTGAACTTGTGCTCTGTAGCTCTTAAATCAGAAGTCTGATCCCAGAATCACCTTTAGAAGGCATTGGTTTTGTTGTTTTTTAACAAGGAACAGGACCAAATTTGGGCTGAGAAACATCTGCCTCTAACAAGCTTGAAAATGAAGTTTCAAAAAATCTGTAGTAAGCAGATTTTAAATAATATACAATGGCAGACAAATAATTGTAAAATTAATAGAAAACAAAAACCAATCTTTCTGTAAATCCCAATGGTACCCTGCTGGTAGCGTAATCAAGAATAAACCGTGTAGGATTATGATAGTTCTGTTAACTGATCATTATTCATCCTGACATATGGAATCCAGACAGATCCATGTCTCTCTATAGTTTTTGCTTTGCTTGCCTCAAAGTAGGGCTTTTCAAAGTGCTGAAAAGGCTATGAAAATGCCTTTTCAATGGTTAAAATTGTGGCGTGAATCAAAAACAACAAGAACCCGACAGCTCTGTTGGGTTCCTGAGCATCTGTGCCAGTCCAGCTGATCAGTGATGATGCCTTTGGACATATTTTGGGGAGGCAAAGTCTTTAAAAAGCTTTTCATGCACGTAGAGCTCTATTTTCCACTATTAATATGACTGCTAAAGAAAGCTTCCTCTCTAAGGGGAGTTTGCCTTAAATGAGAATATAAAATGTTTCTCAAACCTGTTGCTGTCCATTTTACATATTCCTTCATCTCTTATCCTTGGGTCTTCACAACTGAACAGTTCTCCACTTGTACCTTTTCTTGCACAATTCAGCAATTAGAAGAAGGGTTTGTAACATTTTGAAAGGTGGGCAAGTGGCAGGC